GCCTGGTGGCGGTCGTTCTCTATGAAAATCAGACGGGAGGAGGACCGTCTCAGATCCAACCTCCCAAACGGAAACTGGGGCGTCCCCCAGTTCCCAGTCAAGTGATATTCTGACACGTCTGTCTATCACAATGACTGATCAGATGACCAAAAAGGTCCAGATAGGCGCCTAAACTGAAACAGATTGGTACCACAGAAATCCGATTGAGAGGTTGCCTCATGGCAGCCATCTCTGACAAGAAACAGATTGGTAAGACAGAAACAGACTAACCTGTTCCAAGCTTGACCTCCGAGTTCAGTCTGATGAGGGTTGGGGAAGGGGCACGCCCTTTCCTGGCCAACGCACCAAAAATGTAAGTCCTGGGATCTCACAGCTCAAGAGTTCAAGATCGCGCCCTTCCCAGAAACTCCCCCAGACCAAGACTCGTTGCAAAAGCAAAAGGTTTATTAACCATTGTGCAATGGAGTCACCCCTGCCGGTCAGCAAAGAGTGGCACCGGGAGACAAAGGTCTTTAGGTTTTTAAAAGAAAAATTGCGGGAAATTTGAAGTTGTAGTTTTGGCAATTTAGGATTGGATGAGGAAATTATAAAGTAAGATAATTGGTTAGTCTTAGGTGCTCAAGCTTGGCCAGTCCTGCCAAGTGTGGATGCAGCTGCAATTGAAGGTGGGGGTGGTTAGCTCATCCTTGAAGATTAGGGGCTACAGACTTTTGGCTGGAGGTCAAAAGCTACTCAGAAGAAGTCTAGGTTTGTTGCTAAGAAATGCTATCTCAAAGACAGGAGTTTTTCTTTTTGCTGAGTGAAGGTCATTGCTTGCTTGCCTTTTTTTTTTTATCTGTCCTCATAGATAAGGTCACATTTTTCCATTCTCTGGAAAGGTACTAAGAGGCTTTAGCTTAACCTGAACCTAAAACTCAAAACTATAGGCTTTAGAAGACATACAGGTTACAAAGTTAGTCTAACCCTTTCAGGTGGTGCACTTTTATTTAATCTTTTTGTTATTATCCTATGGAAATCTGATATATGCGTGTCAAGTTTGATCAAAGCTGTCCTATTCCCACCCCTGCAATTTCTTCCATTCAGTCCCCATTTTTTCCCTCAAAGTTTCATGCCCCCCCCAAACCTACTCAGTCCACTTCATGCTGCTGTGTGCACATGGGTACAAGGTCACCTGCTGGAGCATGCTGTCCCCCACTGGGATGCACCCCTACAGAAACCCCACTTACAGTGTGATACTAAGTGTGGCTGGCCACGTGGCTCACTGGGAAAGCCTCTGCTTAGCATGCCTGAGGCTCCGTGTTCCATGCCCGACATAGCAAAACCAGACAGCTTTCATTGCCAAGCAGCACCCACAGCCCCTTTTCTCAAAGGAATGAACTGTAATGCTGCCTCACCATGCTGCTGTGGAGTGTGCGGTGGGAGGTAGCAGAGAGGCTGCTGGGTTTCACTGTTTGGTACTTGTCATAACTATCCTAACAATGGCGGGCAAATGAGTGGAAGAGAACAACCTGCCAGCCAGCCTAGCCTACTCAGTATGTACATTTGTCTCTAAGAGGTAGATGGTGCCTACAGAATGTCACTTGAGGTCTTCCTCTGACCTCCATATGAACACACACACACACACACACACACACACACACACACACACACACTAAAATCAAATGCCACAAATGTTTGCTTATTTATTTATTTATTTATTTATTTATTTATTTATTTATTTATTTACTTATCTATCCTGGGGACTCACCATTGTCCTCTATGTTACAGTGGGTTAAGAGGCAAATGACATCATTTAATTTTGAAATGCCAGAAAGAGCACACATTTTAGTCATTAAAATTCTTCTGATAGTGTGCCTCATTGCGTAAATCTTACCAGAAATGAGGATGTTTGGCTTATAAAGTTGGATGCTCTGAGTTACCAACAATTTATCCAGTGCCAGTGATTGCGAAACCCCAAACATTTCACAAGAGCGGAAACCTCTAATTAAGCATAACACGTGACGGAGTGGATTTGTTTTTAAATCCATGTCTTGTAATGCTTAGAGCTCTCAGATTGTGAACTGAGAGTACTCTGTTGAGGTGAGAGGGTTAAGCTGAACATGGTTTTGCACAAGACTTTTCTTCCTGTGTGTCAAGCCTGATCCAGAACATTCTGCTAATGCTGGATCAGGTTCTAGTGTTGTAGTTTGACTGTGGGGACTGTGTGAGCTGTAAGATCAGTCTCTCTCTGCAATAGCAGTTGTTTAGAAGCAGAGGAGGAGGAAAACTAAAGAGGAGGAGGAGGAAGAGGAGGAGGAGGAGGAGGAGGAGGCAGCTGCAGCAGCAACAACAGAATTCTTTAGTGTGTTTCCAATGACTGAAGCCAGCAGTGGCAAGTCATGAGACAGGAAAGAAACAGGACCTTGAATATGTGCTGATATTTAAACAGCAGACCTAACAAAACCCCTGAAGCTTCACCCAATGACTGGAGCCTCCTAAAAGTCTGGTTAAAGCATTGTCAGGTGAACAGTTGCCCAGGCTGGAGCTGTGCTGCAGGGCACCGGGGGCTCAGGTACCTCCTTAGAAAAATGGAGGCACTGTAATGAGACAGGATGGCTGGAAGGGGCTCTCAAAGGCAGCTGCTTCTGGTGCTGCCTTTTCAAACACGCTTTCAAGCCAGGCATGGGCCAGATTTCAACTAGCTTGAGCTGGCAGCTTTGCAGCACACTTAATTGTGAAACTTGAGAAGAAAACAGGCATGTTCTGGCAATATGGGGATTCACCTACAGGTCTCACTATTGTTCTGTTTCCAGGCCCTGCCCTGTGGGCAGCACCTCGAGGCCTGAGCCATCATTGCTGGGCAGTTTTACCTTGTTCACATGTGGCCCCGTGTATCCAAACGAAATTCTCGTTTCTGAGGGTGCAGCATAGCATGCCTCGACACTACGTGCCATCAGCCCCAGAAAACAGACCTTTATTGCATTTATTCTCTGGGAGAAGAGTCTCTTATGGTTCACAGCAAACATCTCCTTAGTTACATCTGAATGAACCCAAAGTGAGCCATCTATGCTGCTGACTCTGTGTTCCTAGAAAGAGCCCCCAACAAGCCATACAATGGCATTAAGAAAGGATGATCATATTTAGAACTCAGAAGGGAAGACTTGAAACTTTCAAACCAGAGTGAAAATAGGCTAGGGGCATGGAGTGGATGGCAGCAGCATTTTCTTTTTAGCTTGTTCTGTATTCCCCAAATCAGCGATGGCACATTGTAACCTTCATCTGTGTTTGCTCTTTATTTAGAATTATAAGTCATTTTAGGACAAAGAGAACGGATTTGACTTGTGTGGCTTTGCAAGCATCATTTAGTCTCCGCTGTCTGTTATCTACGTGTGCTCAGTGAGAGACTTAACACAGAAGGACTCAGTGCGTGAGCCTCTGTCTTTAACCCCTATAATAAAATCTCCTGATGTGCCATCTGTGGGATTCAAGGGCTCCTGGTTCCTCTCTCATTCATGTCTTTGCTGAGAAGAAGCTTTTCCTCAAAGAGGCCACAGGGAGTAGATCATGTGAGAATATAGGGAGACAGAATTAGAATACTTTTGTTTCTAGAAAAGGAAGTTTCCTATTTAAAAAAAATGTACAGAATTAGTAAAGGAAGAATATAGTTTGAGGGTTTTTGTCATTAAATAATGAATGAATTTTTCTCTATATATGTACAATATTTATATTTAAGTATATTTAAAATTTTCATCTATATAGTTGGAGAGATGGGTATATAATTAAGAACATTTACTGCATTTCTGGAGACCCTGAGTTTAGTTCCTAGCACCTACCTGGGCTAGTTCACAGCCACCTGTCAATCCAGCTCTTTAGGTGTTTTCATTAATTAAAAATGAACATTGCAGTACTGACTGGGGATATGACACCATCAGTAAAGCTCTTGCCTTGCAAGCACCAGGACCCGAGTTCAATCCACAGAACACATAAAACAAGCCAGGTGGGGTGGTGAGCAGCTGCAGTCCCAGCTCTGGGGAGGTGGAGACAGGCAGCCCCCTGCCTCTCTTTCTAGCCTAAGGTGCTTGGTGAATTCCAGGCCAAGGAAAGAACCCACCTCAAAAAACAACATGGAGGACAGCCACACAGATATGCATAAGCACACACACACACACTACACACAGCTGTAGAAACAACAAAGTGAAGAACGTGCATAATTTGTTTTCTTTTTTAATTCTTGAAGATGTTAATTTCAAGATTAACATGATGCTGGATAGCTGGAAGTGACCACTCCTTAGATTGTACACGAGATTCTGAAAATTTACACAAACCCTCATTTTATGAATATTGGCATCAAGTATTAAAAATAAAATAGAACAGCCAAAATTCTAATATGAAGAAAGTATAAGTTTGCATGCTTTTCGATTCTTTGTATATGTAGGGGCCCCAAATAAGTCTTTCTAGGCATCTTTCACACAGTGATTTTGTTTTTCAGTAAAGTGCCATGGTGCCGATAACTGTCCCGCTGATACTGCCACAGGCAGCAAGCTATTCAGATGAACTGTGTCTCCCTAAGTTGTTACAGCACAGGCCTTAGCCATGGCTGTGTGTTGGTCCAACTCCATCTGCCACTTACTGGAGAAATAGCTCATGGCCTCAAGCCTCTGCTCCCTCATCGAGACGATCTGCCTCTCAGGTTGTTAATCCAGTCATTTGGTGACTATCTATTGAGTGCTTTCAACTGCCAAGAGGCCTTGTGCGGAAGCAAGGCCTGTGTGTCTCAGGTTCGCTCTGGGACATCCACCTGGGCAGCCGTGCAGGGATGACACACAGAGCCAGGATACCCTTACAGTGTCCCATCAGGCCCCACAGTAGCTATGGAAATGGGTGATAATTCGTGTACATATGTCAAATCAAACTTATCCACCCCTATCTCATTACCCTTTCTTTTTTATTTTTATAAGAGCAACTTGACAAAAGTTTATAAACGCACATTCACCTCCCCATCCTTTTTCTTTCTCTCCCAGAATGGAGTCTACTGAAAAGTGTGAAGTGGTAATTCAACATTTTAATGGAAAATATTTGAAAACACCACCAGGCATCCCAGGTAAGAAATGCCATTAGAAGTCACTTCAGACACCTGGGCTTATTGCTGCCGTTAAATCATTTACGTGCTGCGGGGAGCCGGGCAGGGAGGGGTGCTGCTCTAAGAGTGCAGTCGTTTCCGTTTCGGAATATGTGCATGTCGTGTGGCATGTACGTTGTGTGCACGTGTCTGTGAGCGCGCATGCCCGTACATTCCCACCGAGAAGGCTTAAGGAGAGCACCAGCTACCTTCCTTATCAATCTCTTCTTTATTCTCGTGAACCTGAAGCTCGGCTGTTTTGGTTGTACTGTTAGCCAGTAAGCTCCCGGGAGGCACCTGTTTCCACCCCCCAGTCCTGAGCCATGCCTAGCTTTTGTGTGGATGTTGGGGGTTTGAACTTTGGTCCCCATGCTTGTGGAGCAAGCACTTTACCCACAGAGCCAACTCCCCAGCCCATAAATGTGTGTGTTTAAACACTATTAAATAACTCGTTCTGAGACTTTCTTGGTGATTCCTCACTGGCCTGTATTTGAACTTGTGCTGTTGATTCTCTGAAGTGGATGAGAAGGAGAGCGGAGCCAAGGGCAGGTGTGCTTGAGCGGATGCTTGTGGCTCTCAGCGTGAGTGCTGACTCCTTCACCTGCCGTTTATTAAGCGGTTATGCAGCGATGTTCATATCAGAGCTGAAAGGCTCATGCTGGACCCCAAACACCACTTTCCACATGCTCAAAAAATGTACAAAGACAAGCAAGCATTTAGAAACTTTATGGCAACTTGACAGTCATATAACCGGAGTGCAAAAATTTTATATTTTACAATAATATAAGTGACAATTTGAGAAATTATTAAAAGCTCCATACTATACTATCCCATAGCATTTTAAATTTTCTCAAGGCAGAAATCTTAAGATTTTTATAGGCATCGTAAAAAGATAACACTTTGTGCCATTAAGAGTTATGTTTAACATAAAAAGTGAGATATATCATGTCTATCAGAACTATGAACACCTTAACTAGGCTTAGTCTGGTATGGTGCAAGAAAGAAAGGTGCTTGAGGTTGGGTGATTGCATTGAAAAACTGCCTCAAGAGACTTAAGCATGGTGGTTCACGCCTGCACTTGGGAGATAGAGGCTGTGAGATCAGGATTTCAAGAACATCTTCAACTGCAGAGAGACATCAAGGATAGCCTGGGTTACTTGAGACACTGTCTCCAAAAATAGTATTATATAGTAATACACAAAAAGTTAATATTAAATGAAGTGCTGTACTGAGAAGAATTATAGTGTATAAAGAACTTCCTAGTAAATTGTGGTTAATGTATTGCTCTTTTGATGATGCACTCTCTCAGTGGAAATAAGTACATATATGGTATAAATATACACACGTACTGCTACAGCAATCTGCCTTTTGAAATCAATCAAAAGGTTTGGGAATTTGGCTTCTAGCTCCTGTAAAACAGTGACATTCTATAGAGGAGAAAATGTGAGCAAAAAGAGAGCTATTTGGTGGCATGGTTGGGGCTTTTGTCCTGACTTCCTTGTTTGGGAGGATTTTGCAGAAGCAGGAAGAACCTTCCCGAGGACTCTTGAATGATGGAGAAGATGCAGATTGCTGCTTAGTCAGTGCGCATGTGTGGAGCAAAGCCTGTGCCTTGATTTGGTTTGCCTCACAGGGAATAACACTCTGGGAACCGACTGTGTTGTGATCCACTTGGAGACATATGGTGTTGTCGGGAAAGGCAGTAACAGTTTTCTTCTCGGCATGGAAGCTGTCTTTGCGTTTTAGAAGAAATACTGTGGGCTTTCCCCCCCTTAGTATAAATAGACATCTTAAGACATTCTGCCCAGAACTGTCACTGAACAGAGGAGGCCTGTGTGTGTATGTGTGGTTTATTTTTTGAGACAGTCTCCTGCTGAACCACAAACTCAGCAATTTGGTGGGAATGGTTGGTCAATGGTTCCAGGGATCTGCCTGTCTCCCCCTTTCCGGAGCTAGAATTACAGGCACATACCACCATGCCTGGCTTTTACATGTTGCTGAGTGTTTGAACTCAGGTTCTCATACATGTGTGGCAAGCTCTTTACTGATTGAGCTGTCTTCCCAGCCCCTGTGTTTTCCTTGCCTTAATCCTAGTTTACCCAACAGATGTCCATGCATACAGAAGGTATTGAGCTGGTTGTGAATCACATGATTATGTTAAAAAGTTAATTAAGAAGCAAACTATGTGGAAATAATCATTACATTTTGAGGACCAATTTTAACTTTATAGGTTTCATCCTTTGGGAATAAAAGGACATAATAAAATCCATCCTGACCTGACAGGTTTGGAAATATTTTGTTTGGTTTTCCCAAACTTACAGGTAATGAAAACAATTTAATGCCAAAGACAAAGAGAGTCTCTACAGATCCCTAAATGTCCCAGCATACTTCCTGTGTAGACAGGCAGAGATAAGCACCTTTTCAATATCATAGCTACACCCAATGGAAGCATGGTGCATAGCAGAAATTTGTTTGTGAGTTTTTCAGCCCCTTCTTGTCCCATGGGAACAAGAAAACCAACAGCGTGGCTCAGTTACAAAATGCTTAGAGATGGAACCTTATGCTTCTGAGGTCTTCTCTCAGCGGAGGAGAATTAAATATGCAATGCTGATCATCAGGAGTTCTCAAACTTGTCTTTATTTATGCATAATTTTGGAAGTCAAATAGAGTTTAATAAAAGCTTCGAATGCTAACTGAAGATGTTAACTCTTTGATATGTAAATATGAGATGAAATACAAGAGAACATCGTTAAGAAATGTGGTTTTGGATGGTGAGATGGAAAAATGTCCCCATAGGATGCAATATGGATGCCATGGCAGGTGGAGTCAGATAGGGCATATGTTGCCTACTTGGATTGATGCTTATAGTTTCTATGTTGATACATTTGAAATATTGTTTTCAGACCTCACTTAAAAAAATCTCTTTGGGGCTGGAGAGATGTCTCAGAAGTTAAGAGCCCTGCCTGTTCTTCCAAAGGTTCCGAGTTCAATTCCTAGCAACTATATGGTGGCTCACAACCATCTATAGTGAGATCTGGTGCCCTTTTGTGCCCTGCAGGAATACATACAGATAAAATACTGTATAAATAATAAATAAATAAACCTTTAAAAAAGTTTTAAAATATTTTAAAAAATCGTGTGTGTGTGTGTGTGTGTGTGTGTGTGTGTGTGTGTGCCTGTACACGACACATGTGTATGTATACATGTATGAGTGCTGTTGCTCTCAGGCCATGGTTTACATAGGGAGGGTAGCAGACAGCCTCTTTGGTTAGACCTTCCTTGCCTTCCATCTTCTTCATTGCTTGTGGCTGTGTGCTCTGGACTAGCTGGCCTGGGAGGCTCTAGGCTTCTGTCTCCACCTCCCTTCTTGTTGTGGACACATTGTGACCACAGACACTCACTATACTCTATTCTGCTTTTACAAGTTTTGTTTTGGGGAGGGGGAGGGTTTGAAATTGGGTCCTCATGCTTGCTTGGTAAGCTTTTAACACACGAGCTTTGATAGACCAGAAACTCATTTTTTAATCCAGTTTTCTTTTCCTTTAGAAAGTCAAAGAGTTCAAGGTTCCCAAGAGCTCTTCTAGCACATGCAAGAGAGTCCATATAGCAGTTTTTGTTTGTTTGTTTACAAAAGCCTTATTATTTTGTTTTCTGTGTGTGTGCTTGCTAATTTGTATGTGCATATGTGCTGGGGTTTTTGTGGAAGCCAGAGAAGTTGCTGGATCCCTTAGAGGGGGAGTTATGAGGGGCTGTGAGCCACTGTGAGTGCCAGGGTCTGAACTTGGGTCCTCCAGAAGAATAATAAGTGTTCACGCCCACTGAGCCATCTCTCCAGCCTTGTTTCTTCCTTATTTTCTTTCTCTAAGTGACCAGTTTTCTAACTTTTCAGTAGAATACTTGCAAGAGATTATCCTTTCTGGAGGATATAATATTTCAAAAATAACATTAACTGATATGACCCTCTTGAAACAAAAATGGGGGTGAATGTGACCAAAACTCATCATACAGAATTCTTTTTTTTTAATTTTTATTTTTCTTTATTAATTACACTTTACTCACTTTGTTTCCCCCCCCCCCATGGTTCCCTCCCTCCTCCCGTCCCAATTCCTTCCTTCCTCCACCCTCTGCATGCATGCCCCTTCCCAAGTCCACTGATAGGGGAGGACTTCTTTTCCTTCCTTCTGATCCTAGTCAATTAGGTCTCATCAGGAGTGGCTGCATTGTCTTCTTCTGTGGCCTGGTAATGCTGCTTCCCCTTAAGGGGGAGGTAATTAAAGAGCAGGTCAATCAGTTCATGTCAGAGACAGTCCCTGTTTATATTACAATGGAACCCACTTGGATACTGAACTGCCATGGGCTACATCTGTGCAGGGGTCTTAGGTTATCTCCATGCATAGTCCTTGGGTTGGAATAGCAGTCTCAGGAAAGACCCCTGTGCTCAGATTTTTTGGTTCTGTTGCTCTCCTTGTGGAGTTCCTGTCCTCTCCAGATCTTACTGTTTCCCACTTCTTTCCTAAGATTCCCTGCACTCTGCCCAATGGTTGCCCATAAGTCTCAGTATCTACATTGATAGTCTGCAGGGCAGAGCTTTTCAGAGGTCCTCTGTGTCAGGCTCCTGACTTGTTCCCCCTTTTCTCCTTCTTCTGATGTCCATCCTCTTTGCCTTTCTGGATAGGAATTGAGCATTTTAGCAAGTGTTCTCCCTCTTGATTAGTTTCTTTAGGTGTACAGATTTTAGTAGGTTTATCCTATATTAAATGTCTATATGAGTTCTTAATGAACTGATTAGAAGAACAGAGTTCAGAGAAATTGAGAACTCCAATCTACTGCTTTAGCACAGTCCAGTGTGTCTGGAGTCAGAAATCTGCAGCTTGTAGAAGGGCACACAGACACTTTTGATGCAGTGATATTTAAGGCTGTGTGTGAGAGACCCACAGTCATGCACAAAGACCTGAGCTCACTATGTCCTACAAGGGCTGTGG